TAGTAAAATATTCACCAAATGATATTTTGATCATTCATAATGTTTTTCCCTGATTGGTTAAGAAAGGAAATATGAAGTATATATAGCCACAGTGACTAGAGCTGTTCTACTCTTACAGAATCTCAGTCAATATACATGGAACATTTCACCTTTCTACAATCAAATGTTGGAAAACCATTCGTTAGTCCAAAATTGTGTGGTGGTCTTCATGCCGTTTTTCTGTTTGATCAAATATGCATATTTGAGTATCGAAAATACATTTACTAGTGGCTGTGAACAGCAACATGTTCCTTGTCAGAATTTGGAGATGAGCAGCTGTCGCGCTATTAGCCAGATGTTCAAATGATGCACACACAGAACTCTGGACAATCCAATGGCAGATGCATTGGGAAAAAATATGTTTTAGTGTACTGTCAATGGTGATGGTGAAATATTCGGACAAGTATTGTGGGTTCCCACGAAATGAATCATTAACCTTTCTTGTTGGCCACAAGTACTATAAACAAGTTTGACTGAAATCCATCCATAAATGCCAGAAATGCTTGATATTTGATGATTTTTTAGCACAAAAATGACCACCATTCGGCCATTTTGAATATGATCGTCGAACCAATATATCTGTTTATCTATGACATGATGTATAATGAATATTTAAAATTTGAACATAATCAGTCAAAACAAGTCAGAGATATGGCACGAGAACCACATTCATTAAAACAAAATGGCCTCCAGCCGGCCATTTTGAATCTTATCTGAAAAACAAAATTATTTGCATGAAGGGCCCATAATGTCTAATGTATATAGAAAGTTTGAACAAAAACCATCTGTAAACAGCCGAGAAATGCTGGATTTTTAGGATTTTTCAGCACAAAAATGGACGCAATTAGGCCATCTTAAATCAGATCGTAAAACAACATGTTGTGCATCAAGGTCCTATAATGTCCAACGTATATACAAGGTTTGAACAAAATCCATCTATAAACAGCTGGGAAATGCTTGATTTTGATGATTTTTAGCACAAAATGGCCGCCATTCGGCCATCTTAAATCAGATCGTGAAACAAATTGCATATGTATAATATCATGTGTGATGTATGTGTGAAGTTTGGTTGTGATTGGTCCAGGCATTTCTAAGATACAGGCCGGACGCACGCACAGACGCATGGCGGTCAAAACATAAGTCCCCGTTTTCGGACTGCGTCCGAACGGGGACTAAAAATGCATCTAGTAATTGACAACCCATTCGTTGGAATACAACTTACCTTTCCAATGGAATCATGTGCACTGTAAGTGTCATAGTCCATAATACGTATCTGCAATGGTTCATCTTGAAGCTCTTCATCATCCACCTAGAAATGAAAAGATACATATAATAATTTCTTGAGAAACACACCACCTACATAATGTGATCATTTCAAATCCCTGAAGTTTTCCAATAAACACTATATACCATTACAATGGTAATATGTAATAATAATATGAGGTTATTACGAGGAGACCTCAAAGTATGCATGAAGACAGTCCAATACATACATTGGGGTGGTAAAGCATACTGTGGGAGCAATCTGTATCATTGGTTTATAAATACCAGGGAGAGTCCAATACATACATTAGGGTGGTCAGTATACTGTGGGAGCAATCTGTATCATTAGTTTATAAATACCAGGGAGAGTCCAATACATACATTGGGGTGGTAAGCATACTGTGGGAGCAATCTGTATCAGTGGTTTATAAATACCAGGGAGAGTCCAATACATACATTGGGGTGGTCAGTATACTGTGGGAGCAATCTGTATCAGTGGTTTATAAATACCAGGGAGAGTCCAATACATACATTGGGGTGGTAAGCATACTGGGGGAGCAATCTGTATCAGTGGTATATAAATACCAAGAAGAAACAGAAATATTGGGTTGGTCAGCTCACTACATAAGCAACTTTTACTAAAGAAAGTCTAATTATAAAAAAATAGGCCTGTCACTCAAAGATTTTTGACAAAAAATTATTGAACTTTCATTTGGAAGTTGGAAAATAAAGTGTAGTTCTACCCTTCAGAGTTTGATTCACAAAACAAGCGACTTTACGATTGAAATAGTTCTGTTCTTTTTGTAAAGTGTCTTTCTCAAAACTAAGTTGATAATGTTCTATATGGTGATACATGTGTACTAATTTGTTACCATAATGTTCTAAATCACAACCATGGTAGTTTATATGGTTGTTGTTATGGCAATTACAATTGTTACTAACTTGTTAACCAACCATACCAATTGTCAAAGTAATTGAGCTGGTAAATTTCAAAAAGAAATTGAAAATAACATTTTTTTCCCAAAAATAACAAAAATGTTCACTAAATACAAAGAATTAAAGGTATTATCACAAAATGAACAAATTTGACAATGGTCAAGCCAATGCATGTGTGTTAACAATATCAGCATTGTAGACAAAATAGAGACATAGTAGAATTCATTTCAGCATTTTAATACTTCTCATAAACTAATTTCTATCTACACTCATCAAAGGCAGGAACAAAAATGAAGTCAAATGGTTTAACAATTTTTTCAGAAGAAATCACCCACATTCAGACAGATTCCAGACACCATACACAGGACCATCCCTGTATCACAGCGGAGTTATGAATACATACCATGAACATGTCACATAGTATAATGACTATCAACAAATAATTAAACACAAACTCACCTCAAATTTGAACCATTCTGAATTCCACTGAGGATTTAAAGACTTCCTATAAACATCAGTCTTCAGGGTTACATTAGCAAATTTCAACTGAAATAAAAAGAAAAACATTGTGGAGTGTTCGTTGGTATGATGGATATGCACACCAAATAAGGTCAAAGGAGAAACGCAATCAATTTCGTGTCTTATTAAACTACACTAAAAACAACAATCTTTCATCAAAAAAACATGAAAAGAAGATAGGGAAGGTACTCAGAGAAAATTATGTAAAAACATGGAGAAGGGAATTTTTTAATGACAGCAGAATGAATGGAGCAACAAACATACAGAAAATTTAAAACTACCTTCAATATGGATAATTATTTAATTGATATAAAAAATCTTTCTGCAAATTGTGAATTTCTGACCATAAACTACTCATTAAGACTGGCAGGCAAAAGAAAATTCCTAGAAATGAAAGAATATGTAAACTTCGCATAGATGATGAAATTGAAGACGAGTACAAATATGACGTACCCCATAATAAATTATTTAAATTTATGGTATAATTTTATATATAATATTTCAACGACAATGATTAATACCTGAATCACACCAAGAAATGGTTTGGGGGTTTGTAAAATATCGATCACAATCAAACTTATTTAGATTTATATCCTCAGCATTAAACGTAGACTGGCCCAGTTGACTTACATGGCATTTTTTGTTTTATACGATAATTCCTTCAGATTTTATAGAACCTTTCTCGTTGACCATGATTTAACAAAATATATACATGTATAAAATTCCACTTTTCCAAATTTCTCTTGACCAGTCTATATTAAATGGTTATTAAATTAACCATTGAGTCATTTCCCATCGTAACACAGTAAATTGAGTACGTTCGATCCCCACATTCAAACTATTCGTACCGTTCGTAAAAACGAAAGAATAAATAATGGCTCGGTTAACTTTGAACATGGGCCTTGCTTCTTGCTTAGGTTCTTTTTTTGTCGCCTCAATATATTCAGCACTGAAAACAAGTTTTATTGCTAGGTTAACGGATTACATTTATCGCATTAAAACAAAAGAATCGGTAGAACACGCAGACTTAATCAAAGCGGCATCTGTGTGCCCGCAGAACATACCCGCAGATCAACACACAGACATCAGTGTTATGGTTTCTGCGTGCCCGCAAAACTCACCCGCAGATATGCTTTTGAGGTACACGTACATACCTCAAATATGAAATAATAACTCATCGACTGCAGACTTGATATGGTGATATTAGCATTGGTTTTGAATCTTTTTTGGTCTGGATAGGTTCTGGGTTTCCTCTATCAGCATACACAGCAACCTCAGCATAAAGGACAGACCCTAGTGGTCTGTATCTAAACCCTGCAATCTTTATATTCACAAACCAGCCCAGGACTTATCTGGTTCCAAAATGGCATTGCCTCTACATTTTATATATATAGTATAATCTTGGAAAGACTTTGCAATGTACCCCCACCCTTATGTGAACTCAAACCCTAAGCCTCCAGTCTCCCCAGTTCAGTGTATGCCTCTTTAGATAACTATTAATTTGAGGGGCAAGAGAGGGTAGATGTTCGGTTAGAGTTAGAAGTTAGCATACATTGGAAAGTCTTTACATGATCTGCTTATCCGCTCACAGTCCCTCTATGATAGAGGGACTGCAATCCGCTGTACACAGTTTGTGCTTGGTTTATCTGTTAATTTTATCCAAAACCGGGTGCATCACAATAGGCCAGACTGTTATTATCCCTTGTTTTGCGAACCTGCCAAATGAACAGGAGCCGAAAATAAAATAAAAATTACATTTATTGCTGCGTAATTTCCGCACCCGCCAACTTGCAAGTGCAAAAAATTGCTAAAAAAAATTATTTTTATCTTCATTTTTTTTTCGCTGCAGCCTAACAAATCCAAGTTGCATTTTCATGGGAGTATCATGATCAAAGAATCGAAGTCTCGCACAGATCTATACTTTACGCGCGTTGGTTGACAGTGAATCTGCGTGCTGCTTGAGACTACTAGATGAACATGGCGTCAACGTGGTTTGTGACACACCGTGAAACTCTGTCGTCAAAAACCGAAAAACATCTCATTAATGCTGAAAATTGTGCCACCATTGGCGACATTGCCAATCAGGTTATACATGGAATAAAATTTTATTTCATTTCTTCTATCCGATCAATGATCTCACTTACAATTCTTTGAGAATCACACGAATATAATGGAAAAAAGGAATTAATATTATTTATTTTTTCGCCCTCCTCAAAAAAATTGACTTATAAAAACTCGAGAAACAAGGAATAAAAAAAAGCCTGGCCTTACCCAACCAACACCCCCATCAAAATCTTTGGTAATACTACGTACCTCCACAAATGCATCAGCTCTTTCACTAGATCTGTCCATCACGGGCAAATTTCTCCCAGAGACTACTCGTACTTTCAGTTTTCCAGGCATTATTTTGTCAATGTGTGTAGTGCACGTCGTCTTCCGTATCAGAATCCAGGGCCGTAAAAGTTAGAATCCAGTGCCGTTAGAAAGATCAATAGGTGCCAATGGTGATGTCGATACAGCGGAATAGACACTACAAATCTTCTATAGACAATTTGTTTGAAATAATATAAATTTTGTTAGCATTGCATCCATCTGGCTCCTTTACTGCATTCACAACATCACACTTCCAGAATAGAGCACAGTGACCTACTTTCAGATTTCACAGCTCATGTGTTCGTAACCGTTATATACACTTGCCACTCAACTCACCAGCGCATTATATTCCTAAATATGAAATAGTAAACAACATAATATTTATCTTTGATAGTCAATTTGTAATCGCGTATAGTTTGTTAACTTGACTGGTAACGAATGCACAATCTATGAATAACGTGACATTAGGCAACATGGCGGACGACTTAGACGATGAGTGGTGGATGCCGAAAGAAAACAGCGATAACAGTACGTAGTATAGTATAGTATAGTATATTTTATTTGACACTAAATAATATATTTTGTTACATTATCTGTGGTCAAAAGACATTAAATATAATAAAACACAAGTACACACACGAGACAAAAGAAAATCACATAAATAACTAAAGTCTAAGTAAAATTACTTATAGTAAAATAAAATGCTGTCAATAAATTTGCTAGCACTATTGGCAATGAACCCATCTCTCGAACTTAAAATTTCTGTAAACATTTGTTGTTTTGATAGTTTAAGGATATTTTCATTATAAATGCTAACTACATTTAGAAATTCAGTACGAGCATTTGTTATTCCAGTATGGTTACAGTCTAAAAGTGCATGGATTTCATTGCCAATAGCCCCATTGTTACAAAGTTGGCACTTTCTTTCCTCTGGAGGTATCCCTTGATATCTAAGTTTTTCAATTGGTAGGGTATGTGCAGATATCCTAAATTTGGTGAAGCTGGTCTATGTTGTGCATTTTTTACTTGATTCAATATGGTTCAAATTTATATGTAGGTTTGAACTGAGTGTATGTACGTATTTATTGTTTGGGTTGTCTGGACTGTTGGTAGCCAAACTTT